ATGGTTGAAGTTTTGAGAGAGGTTGAGTATAGCAAAAGACAGACAAAGAGAGTGGCCTTTAATATTTCGAAGAGAAAGACACGCGCCAGGTGCGTGAGGACGGTGCACGTGGGCGATGTAGAGACGTTGAGTGGCGGTCAGAGTGCGGAGGAGGACGGTGGTGACGGTGGTGAAGAATAAAACGGCATCGTTTTTACGGGATACGTTGGGGATTTTGAAATTTGGCCAATAGTTTAAATGCCACGTGGTGGGGCCCGGTAAGTTTTTAAGTTTAAAAGCTTATCATTCCGCGCTCGCCTTCTCGTTCAAATTATGTGGGTCCCAGGCTCGTGTAAGATTGCCACGTGTCGATCCTTCAAACGCAGCCATTGGATCACATGCGTTTCATTTTGTTTCTTTAATTTTTTTAAGCACTTGGTTTTTTTTTTTTTATTTATTTAAAAAAATACTTCAAATCATATATTTTAATTGATTTATTTTAGTTTGGACCTAATCTCTCTCTGTATATATATATTTTTTTTTTAGCACCTGGTTTTTTATTTTATTATTATTTAAAATTTTAATCAAACAATGTCTTAGAAAATAATTATCATTGAACTGAGTTGAAAACTATGGACCACCGGTTAAGAATCATAACTCTCCACAATGGTATGATATTGTTCACTTTGTGGTTAAGCTCTCATCGTTTTGCTTTGTGCTTCCCCAAAATGTCTCGTATTAATGGAGATGTATTTCTTTAATTATCAACCCATGAACATTCCCTAAATTAGGGATTATCCTCCCCTCGAACAAAGTACACCATAAGCCTCCCCTGAGGCTTATAGAACTCTCGAACATCCTCCCCTTAATCGAGACTCGACTCCTTTCTCTAGAGCCCTCGAACAAAGTACACCCTTTGTTTGACACTTTAGTCACTTTTTTACTACACTTTCGAGGCTCACAATCTTTGTTTGTTGAACAAAGGGTCGAACAAAGTACACCTTTTGTTCGTTTGAGGCTCACAATCTTTGTTTGATATTTGAGGATTCTATTGTCATGGCTAAGTTTAGGGCATGATTATGATACCATGTTAGGAATCATGACTCTCCACAATGGTATGATATTGTCAGCATAGGGCTTCCCCAAAAGGCCTCGTACTAATGGAGATGTATTCATTTAGTCCATATGAAACTCATTCCCAACCATCCTCAATAGAACCTAACAGAAGGACGACTCTACAATGTTATGATATTGAGCATACGCTCTCATGGTCTGAGCATAAGCTCTCAAAGTTTTACTTTGAGCTTCTCCAAAAACCTTATATCAATAGAGATAGAGTATTAATCGATTATAAACTCATGGTTATTCTCTAAATTAGACAACGTTGGACTTTCCTAGTCCAACCCTTCCACCCCATGCTATAAATGTCCCATCATCTTTCTCAGTCACTACCAACTGATTAACAAATAGAAACTATGCGGAATCCAATCAAACGCTCTCACCATCTTCTTCCTTCGTCCTCTTGATTCATTCTTTCTGTTTGTCCTTCGTTGAACTAAATTCTTGCAATTTCTTGAATTCTTGGAAATGGCGGAGGAAAATGCAATCTCGCCCTATGCCGGCCGCGAAGTCGATCAGTGTTTCTTCAAGGGTGAATCAAGTCGAGTTCTTCGCGGAGTCATTGTACAAGTTAGCAGTGTCGAGCAAGCAAAAATTGCAGAGGAAGCCGGCGCGTGTTGTGTTTTGCTCTCCGAGCCGATTCACATAGGCATTATGCGAATGCCTGATCCATTACTATTCATTGAAATTAAGCGTGTTGTTTCGGTTCCGGTAATCGTAAAGGTCCGCGTAGGGCACTTCGTCGAAGCGCAGATTCTTGATAATGTTGGTGTGAAGCATTTCGATGAGAGCGATGAAACTTCCGCTGTAGATCAGGAGCATTTCATCAACAAGCACAGGTTTAAGGAGTCGTACTTCGTCTGTGGATGTCGAAGCCTGGGCGAGGCGTTGCGGAGAGTGAAGGAAGGCGCGAAAATGATCAAAACTCAAGGAGATATGGCGGCGTATTCTTCAGGTAACAACATCACGGAGACGTTGCGTAATGTGAGATCTGTGATGGCTGATATTAGGTTTTTACACAGCATGAATGAAGATGAGGTTTTCGCTTTCTCGCAAAAGATCTCCGCGCCTTATGATATTGTCAAGAAAACTAAGGAAATTGGCAGGTTACCGGCGATCAATTATGCGGCCGGAGGAATTGCGACTCCGGCCGATGCGGCTTTGATGATGCAGTTAGGTTGTGACGGAATCTTTGTGGGATTGGAGATATTCCAGTTCTCTAAACCTTGCGACCGATTGAGAGGAATCGTTCAGGCAGTGAAGGGCTACAACGATCCAAGCGTTCTGGCGCAGGCTAGTTTTGGTGTTGGGGCAATATGAGAATCAGATGGAACAGAGTAAAATCGTCGTTTTCGCACATTGATAGATTCCTCTTCTTACAGTATGGATAAATTCAAACCAGAGATCCAATAGCTTTCTGAATCTCTTCTTCCCCAATTGTTGAGAATACATAGCTACGAATTAGAACATTTTCTTCATTAGCGTGCAAAGTCTAGAAAATTGATATGATTTTCATTCAATATCAAATTACAGAACTATTCCTTTCATGAAATTTGCTTTTTTACATTTACATGATGGTTTCATTGAATTTTTTGTGATTCAAAAAGTTACTTTTGCTTGGGAATATTTCTTTTTTGGGGTATATTTTGACTACACCTTCTCATTTATTTATTTATTTTGTTCTTGTGCTTTAAAAAACTTAAAATTTTGTTTTTATGATGGGATAGAATCTCATAAATAATGCCTCTAGATCAGCACAACAAACATACTCAATTTGGAAGAACATGAAGAACAGGAGAGAGAAGAGAATTGCACAACAACTGACACAACCAACTTTTTTCTATACGAACATGAAGAACAGAGAGAAGAGAATTGCACAACAACAGACACCACTCTTTTCTATACATTATCATTTACTATGTATGATTACTATTATAACTATTGACCAAGATATTTGACTTTAAAACTAACAATATCAAAAGTAAAAAAGAGACGAATTCATTCTCATTTTAGTGACCGTGGGAAATGTGGGCAATTCAGAGAGCTTGATTGCTAAACAAACACCTCAAAGTAATCTCATATGCAGCAAAGACGGCCCCATTAACCACAAATGCTCTAGCCACCGCAGTCCCCAGCCCTCGCCACAGCACTCTGTAACCCTCTTCTCTCACACTCTTGCCAAGACAATCAACAATTCCATTATACTTTCCAGATGAGCTTTGTGTCTCACCCTGAATTCTTGTCTTCAACACATCCAAGGGATAACAGACAACCCAGCTGCCAACTCCGGCGAGCCCTCCGGCGAACAGCATTGTGCTGACACTCTCTTGGCCGGTCTTCCGGCAGCCAGGATGAAACTGCTCTCTCATGAACTCATATGTCCAGAAATAGATGCCATGTGCCGGTGCATCTCTGAGCATGGTTATGGTAAGTCCTCTGTAAACCCCTCTCAATCCTTCTGTTTTGCAGATGCGTTTGGCTACGCTCACAGGGCCTTTGTTAGAAGAAGAACTTTGCAATTGCAGGTGGATTTTCACCAGCTCCACCGGTGACAGAATGAAGCTCTGAAGAGCACCGGTGACAAATCCTCCAAGAGCCACAGCCTTATAGCTCGGAGGGTCACCGTTGGATTGGGAGAAGTTGAATGCCCGAGAAAGAACGGCGTAGATTTGAAACACAGCAGCGTTCTGTAAATGCAAAAACATTAATCAGTATCTGCCATTGAATCTCAATCCACCATTAAAGGAACTTTGAGAACAGAAACAGCCATGGAAGATAAGAACATAAGAGTGACCTGGAAAGTGACAGAGGCCAAGGGAGCAGCCATGCCTCTGTAAAGACCAGCAGGGCCATGGTTTCCAATAATATCACGAAAGATTTTGAAAGCAGAACCAGAAATGGATCGCTGTTGCCTGATTCGAAGAGTATCAAGTGGGTAGCCGGAGACTATACCAGCAATGCCACCAAAGCCACCGGCGACAAATTCTTTACCCCAACTGGTTGCAAGAAACTCCGGCCAGAAATCCATTACTACAATATATATAATCGCCCCACCAAAACTCCGGCCAAAGAAAAAGGCAGATGTTGCTGGTTTTATGAGAGGAGAGAGAGAGGATGAAGACAGAGAATACTACGTGGCCATGGACCGACCAATCAGCTTCTGACATGCTGTATCTTTTTATTTTTATTTTTATTATTGTTTTCCTAGATTTGGAGTGTTAGTTAAAACCCAAAACGAGCTATTTTTTTTCCCTTTTAATGGTTTTAGGAGTGTTAAAAGCGACAGCCATAGTTTGGTTATGATTTTAGGAGAGATGGTAAGATGATAGATGGCAGAAATTAATGAAAGGGCCTAACACCCATTTCCAAAAATATACACAGAACCATATATTATCACACCAGTTTATGTATGCTGTCACTTTCTGCAGTAGATTTTTTAGCTTATTTTTGTAACCTATCATTTTTAATATACACGAAATTTTAATAAATAATATACAACGTGAAACGTTTTTATAAAAATATGATCTCTGTTAGTAGTAACAACCGTGAATCGGGCCCCAAACAATGGTTACAGGTTACTAAAAAGCACTCAAAACATGCTTTACACTAATGATATAGCACGCACCAGCAGTCAGCAGAGCACGCAAGGCAAGTCCAAAAGCATAAAGCTTCAAATCAATCAGTTCATGTGGAGAAAAGCATGATATTTGGTTATTTCTTATGAATGATGTTATACCATCAGTTGATTTAAAAAAACACTAACACATATGCAATTACACCTTGGAATATCTATACAGACTATGTAACTGCTCGATCCAATAGACTCCCCGCATGTTTCGGTATGCAAGATGATTTCATGTTTTTAAACCAATAACTTCAATTTTTCTAGTACAGTGCAACTATTGCAACAAAGCAAGCAAACATGCCACATTTCTGCCATTCAAGGGACGATATGAACAACATAATAAGGTCACTCAAATTTTTGTCGAGAACAAGTGCATATGCATACCGGTAACCCTCCCACAACTGGAATGTTCATTTATTCCGAATCTGATGAGTCTGCTCTGGCACTTTGCCGCACACTCCTCCTGGTTTGTGCACTAGATTTTGAAACATTTATGGACGATTCGCCTTCATAGAAGATGACTTGACATTTCGCCAACCTCTCTTCCAATTCCTCTGTGCTGAATTCGTCAGTTCCACCAAGCTCATCAAATCCCACCTGATAGATTCACGTGAGTTGAGTTTAAGGACACAAAACATAATTCAGTAATCAGTGGCGTGTTACCATAAAGACATACCACATAGTCTTCAACTTTTGCATTTTTGACAAGAGCAAGGGTTGGAAGAACAATGATCTTCAACTTCTCAGTCAGAAATGGACTTTTCTCGGCATTGATCTTTACGAAACGAGTCTCAATATGTTGCTTTGCCAAGATATTCAAGTGCTTGTCCATAACCTGCAAAATGAACATGCATCATTTCTCTCAAATGCCCAGGCTTACAAGTGATAAGTACAATTAAAAACTAAGTAAACAGCCTTAAATTATGGACAATAACGTCCAATGGTCCAACTTAGATACCCATAATTTTGCAATGGGGAGTCAACCCAAGGGAAAGCTCTTATGCCAAATGATAATGAATCACTACCAAGGAAGTAAGATTCAAATTACCATGTTAATTGAATATCTCAATAAGATTCAAATTACCATGTTAATTGAATATCTCAAGGCAATAACACTTGTTTGAAATTCGAACCACTCCACAAGCAAAATCAATCATGTCAAGCTTGAATTCTAAACATGCAATCTAAACTACATAGAATTGCAAATAAACTTAGCCAATTGACCAAAGGAAAACAAAAATGCTCTTTTTACTACATTTTTCAAGTCTACTTTACAAATATAACAGACATGGCTTTATATAGCCTCAAAATGAAAATCCTTGACCTTCCATTTGACTGACCATAATTAGCCAATATGTAGATGTAACCTTAAAGTAAATAAAAGTCTTAAAACATTAAATAAACATCATAACTTTAGATTATCGTCCACTCAAAATTTGTAACCAACAAAGAATCTTCCTTGAAGTTCATAGTGCATATTTATGTACGCAAAAAAATGTCAAGGAATAATAAAAGAAAATACAGTATCAGTCCTCTGGCAACACCCTCGGGGTTAAACATGGATCATTTCCAACTAAGTTGAGAGCTATGGGCTGAATTGATCACATGAGAAGGATAAAAAATGCTTGTATGTTGAAAAAAAACTCATGATTGAGAAAATGCACGTGAACAAAGACTACAAGAGACACGAAACTAACATGAGCTAGAACCTCTTCTCAACCAGAGCATGTTCATTTGAAAGAGCTAATTGTTTGGTCATCATTCACCTATTTCAATTGACTTCAACCTTTTTAATAATTACAACACAAATTAAATAAGGGCTGCAAAAAACCAGAGGTATTAAAATTTGAGTCTCATTACATAAATAAATCCATTTCTTATATCCCTGGATATTTGATCATTGCACTAACTGGTAGACATAGCATAAACGAAAAGAATGCAAAACAGTCCTACATGTGCTTGGAATGAAGTTCAATTTCCCAAAAGCTAGAAAATTCATCGACTTTTACAATTAAGAGGTAAAAAAAAAAAAATCCAATTAACACACTGAATCAATCGATGAGTGACTAACAGAACCTAACCTTGCAGGGCCAATTTTCACGGTAAAAGTGGCAGACCACGCGATCACTAGCCTTGACTACGGAGAAGAAGTCCTTCTCGACGGGAATCTCAGAGTATTCGCCATGGCCAAGGGAGATCCATCGACTACGCTTCTCCGCCATCCTCTTCATCTGCTGCAATCTTCGCTCCCTCAAAGCCTCCAAATCGTCAAGGTCCAGACGATCTAGCGCTGCAATATCGTCATCAATCTTGTCCTCCACGGCCTTCGCCACCGTCAACACCTGCTTCTCCAATATCTGGCACAAAAAAAAAAAAAAAAAAAAAAAAAA